AGGAGCAGCCTCTCATTCACAAGCCCTGGTCCTCATGGGGAATTTCAACCACCTCCATATCTGTTGGAGGGACAACAGAGAGGGCATAAAAAATCCAGGATGTTCCTGAAATGCTTCCTTCTCCAAGAGGAGCCAGCAAGAGAGGTGCTATGCTGGACTTTATTCTCTCCAACAAGGAGGGGCTGGTGGGGAATGTGAATCTCAAGGGAAGCCTTGGTGGCTGTGGTGGAGTTTGAGATCCTTTGGGCAGCAAGAGAGGTGCACAACAAGGTCACTACCCTGGACTTCAGGAGAGCAGACTATCTGGCACTGGGACCAGTGCTGTTTATCATCTGTGATGGTGACATGAACAGTGGGATCAAGTGCATCTTCAGCAAGTTTGCCAATGACACCAAGCTGTGTGGTGCCACTGACACATTGGAGGGAAGGGATGCCATTCAGTGGATCCTTGACAGGCTTGAGAAGTGGCCCCATGCAAACCTCCTGAAGTTCTACAAGGCCAAGTACAAGGTCCTGCACCTGGGCCAGAGCAATCCCAAGCACAAATACAAGTTGGGCAGAAAATGGACTGAGAGCAGCCCTGAGGAGAAGGACTTGGGGGTGCTGGTTGACAAGAAGCTCAATGACCCAGCTGTATGCACTCACAGCCCAGAGAGCCAGTATAGTATCCAGTGTTACATCAAAAGCAGCATGACCAGCAAGCTGAGGGAGGTGATTCTGCCCCTCTACTTGGCTCTTGTGTGAGCCATCCAGCTCTGGGGTCATCAGAATAGTAAAGACATGGACCTGTTGAAGTGAGTCCAGAGGAGGGCCAGTGAGGTGAGCAGAGGGCTGGAGCACCTCTCCAATGAAGACAGGCCGAGAGAGTTGGCATTGTCCAGCATGGAGAAGAGAAGGCTCCAGGGAGACATAGCAACATTTCAGTACTTAAACAGGTTACTTTTGACAAGGGCATGTGTGATTGGAGAAGGAGGAATGGCCTTAAGCTGAAAGAGAGGAGGTTTATATTAGATATTGGGAAGAAATTCTTTACTGTGAAGGTGGTGAGGCAGTGGAACAGGTTGCCCAGAGAAGTTGTGGATGCCTCATCCTTGGAAGTGTTCAAGGTCAGGTTGGACAGGGCTCTGAGTAACCTAGTCTAGTGGAAGGTGTCCCTGCCCATGGCAGGGGGCTGTAACTAGATGATCTCTGAAGTCTCTTCCAACACAAATAATTCTATGATTCTGTGATGATATCTGTAAATATCTGTAGTAAAAATAACTTTTTCCACATTAAACTCAGAAGAAATTTCACTGAAAAGGAGGTCTATATTTTCACCTGCAGACTAGATTACTTCAGTTTACTCTATCCAACTCTGAATGTGAAACCTGCAAAAAGATACCAGCTTGGACTGAACACATCTGCATGCTAGACTAATATAAACATTTGACCTGATTCCGAGGCTGACTTCCTGACAATTCAGGAATTTATTTTTTAACTAACATTAATTGCAAACAACACTAGAGAGTAATTTCATGTACATAGTCACTCAATTCACAACAAAACAAAGATTTAGTGTGTAGGAATATCAGATACTGCACAAATCCAAATGAGGAAAGACTAATTGAATGAGATTCTAGATTATAACACAAGAAATTAAATTCTGAAACACCTTTTACTGCTAACAAAACCCTACACTCATCAGACACTCCTTTTGATATCCCAGAGCTACTGTGAAGCTCCTTAGTACCTATACAAACTTCAGGAGACCACTTTCCAACACGTATTATGGGTCTACATTTCATTAAGCACACTAAAGATCACTGTTTAACTAAAAGAGTTACAGGAGTTTCTAAAATGAGTCAATGATATCGTCATTTCAAGGATCTAGTCAAAATGGTATATAAATTCAGCTTAAATTTTTGAAGCAAAAATTGCCTTATATTGGTGCTTCTGACTTCCTGCTTTGGAAGATTTGTTTTTAAGAATGGTCCAAAAAATAAACTAGTGACAGAAAAATATGGCATGATCCCAAATGTGGATCCAATCTGAATTTGGTTAGAAAAATAGTAGCTTACTAAAACAACAAAGTTCAGAAAAGCATGCACATGACTGGTAGTTTCTCTCAAAGCTTCTATTTGCCTAACAAAGTGGTCTCAAGTCCCTCTGGAGCAGTAATTCCAGCTAGGTCATAGCATATCTGAATATACAATTTGATCGGTTTTGATAGCCCTTGAACTGATATAGCTTGACCTTTATACTCTTTGCCAAAAGCCACTACCAACCTTATGAACTTTCCTAAGTATTTAGTCTTGTCAAGATATTATCTGACAACCCTTTTAACATCCAACATATGCAATGAGCTCTTCCAAGAAGATGCTAATGCATAAAGAAAACATATGTAGATGATAATTCAAAAGCACTTTTGTCAAGATTTTAGAGGGGCCATAGCAATATTTTTTTCCTCACAAAAAGATATATACAGGCTCTCCTATTCAAGCATGCTGTTCTGGATTTACCTGACTGAAGTTATTGTTAATAATGTGCTCTTGTTAAAATTGTTTCTACTGTTTAATATTATTATAAATAACGTTTTGTCAATGGAAGGAGGAAAATTAGGGGAAAATCGTCAGATATTCAGAGAACCCTTAAGCTTCCGAGACATGATCAGTTCTCAAAGATCCAAGAACACTTACTCCAAGACTTCTTATCTTCTAGATATGTAAGTTTTCAGCAATAAGAACTGTTGCTCTATTATGTATGTTAAACTGTTATGCTTATCCCCTTAAATTACTGCTTCTGCAAAAACAGGGAAGAAACCTTATTTAACACAGTCTCAAGGTAAAGAGGATTTTGTTGCAGGCTACTCATACTTTTTTCCTGGCAAAATACACAGGGAAGATTTTCTCCTTCTCTTCTTCACCATCCTGCAATATTCTGAAATAATTATTATACTCTATCTATTGCCACTGCCTTAGTATGGAAAAAACATTTTAATACAGAAGAGTAAGTTCTGATCATTATTCCTAAAACAATCAGTGATTATCATTTTTCTAGGTCACTGAATATCTTTTGAAAAGGAACAAAATGCAGGAAAACATAAAATAAATATTCCCACCAGAAGACAATATTCTTTGCAATATTCAGTTTTTGAAAGGCAATGTGACTCTGCTGCAGCACAGAAACTAAACACTTCCATTGGACAAAATCAGAGGAACACAATAAAAGAATGCATAAATAAACATGCTTTTTTGCAGTCTACAGTTTGAGCTGTGTCCTATTATCAATGAAGCCACTATTAGGCAAATACACAATACAAAATGAAATGACATAGTAAGTGGTGGAAACTGAAGTACACAACTATCAATGGCAGAGCAAGATCAGTCTGACATTGCTTTTGCACTGTCAGCACAGGTGAACCCTACCTCATCTCCTACTTCAAAACTCTAGAACTAATAAATCAACCAAGGGACACCGAGTGTTGTAAACCATGGCAGTGAACTAAGGAGACTGACTGAAGGAGTTCAGGAGTGCAGTGCAAAGGATTGCAGCCTTGTTCAGCCCAAATTCTACCTAAACACTGTGCTAAACATTTCCTATCATCAGCGTGTGCCTCTGAAGACCTAAAATCAAGACATAAACTTCACAAAGAGATTATGTAGCTTGTGAGCATTTGAATTAGTACATAGCATTCCCTGGAGGTTTAGAGGAGAAGTTTACACATGGAAAAACACTGTACCTACTTCTATTACAAACAATAGTATTTTTCAATGGAAAAGTTATCTCTTGAACCCTTCTAGCATCAATAAGTGTAATCTCAGAAAATGGAAAATTAAGAATTTATAAAGCTCTAAACAATTTTGTACTTGACTTTACACCCAGATGCAAATTTAAAATGACCTGCACGCAGCATTGTGGGGTTGGTTTAGTTTGGTTTGTTTTTCTTGTTGTTTCATTTTATAACCTTGCAAAAATGTCACAGTTTAATGATAGCCACTTGTTTGTGTTAAATCTTAGTTTCTATGATTGACTTTCATTTAAAGGTCCCAGGTAAAAAAAAATTCACTTTTTGACTCGAGTTCTCCAGAACAGACTCCACTGTGCAGAGAACATAAAATGCCACACTCTCAGAGAGCCACTTAGAGGCTGCAAAACAAGTATCAATTTAGGGGTGCTTAAGTTACTGCTGCAGTGATACCTGTTAAGGCAAAACCCAGCATAGATACATACAAAACTGAACAGGGAAAAGAAGAACAAAGTAGGAGAAAAGAAAATAAGAACAACAAAACCCCCACAAACATAGTAATGAATGGAACTTATAAACAAAGCTACTGGGAATCCATTATCGTTCCTTGAGAGGGTTTTGTAGAGGTGGGAGGGCCAGGTTTCTGTGATTTTTTTGTTTGTTTGTTTGTGTGTGGATTTTTTTGTTGTTAGTCTCTTTAATACAAATATCTTTGTTTCTTTGACCTGCTCTCATATAAACCAGATTTCTTCATTAGCTATATATTATTTTGTTGGAAGGGGAAGTTTTTATTCTTTCGTTTTGAAAACTGGCCTCCAAATTAACATTGAGTTTTACAAGGACTGTTAAGAAGAAAGCTCAGTAAAATATAGATCATTACCAAAAAGATTTTAGGACTTTACGAATAGCATCATTTTCAAGACTACACATAAATGTGCTCATGTTTTTCTACATCCTATTTATATCTGAAGAATGTCAGAACAGAAAGCTATTAAAAATATAAAATAAATGCTCATATTTGCATTTTGGTTTAGCTACAATCATTAGTATTTTCAGTGAACTTCTGTCACTTCAGTGAAATGTACCAGAGGAAAAAAAAGAAAAAAAAAAAACAGACAAGCGGCTTACTATAACAAAAAAACTAAAAATAACATCTAACAGTTTATTTGTAAACCATGCCCTCGTTATAAAAAACAGTGGAAGAAAGACTAATGAGTTTTATATTTGAGGCCCACTTGAGATCTTAGAAAGTACTTAAAACTCTAACAATGCTTACCTTAAGGACACACTATACTCAGGATAAAAGATGCTTTTATATTGAACCCAGGTCCCAGTTTCCTCTTCCATATTCTGGTCCTCTACTGAAAAGAGATTGAAGGATGCAAACCTTCTTACAGATACTTGTTGGAGATGCACATCTTTCAAGTGCTTTTTCTTCAGAACCTTTGAAATGAGGAACAAGTTAAATGTTAAGAATAAAACTTCAAAGAAAAGAACAAACACAGGCCTCTTTACTTAAAGAGGCAAACCATAATGGCTATGCTATCAGCTAATAGTTACGAAAAACTACTCCAAGTATGTCAGGCCTGAACAAAATAACAATGGTATTAATGGTAAGGGTCAAGGGAATGGGTTATGAATTATGTTTCAATAACTGTAAAGCAAATGTACTGTGTTCAGAAGCACATAAGGTTTCTTTTCTAACTCTTGCTCCAGCAGACCCATGCAAAAATTAGAGGAGCAAACCAGGTTCTCCCCATCCTCTCATTTCACAAAGTTTCACAGTCCAAGCAGTGCCCTCACCAAGAAATTTCTGTGCCACTCACTGTTCCTATAGAGGGAGGGAAAAAAAAAATTAAGCAAGAGTATCATCTCTAGAATCTAAATAGCTAAACCCAAAACATGATCCTCTGGTGTCTGAGTACTATGTGTTTCCCTGGCAGACCACCTCCTACCTTATAAGTCATCTGCTGCACATTTGCAGAATTGCTGTCAAAGCTGCCTGAGTTGAGAAACTTGCCACCTGTCCCAAGCCCCAGAGTTACAGACACCACAATGGTGTATTCCCCTGCCAGGCCCCCACAAGGGGACTGATGCATGAGCCAGCCCTTATGTGAGCCCCAAAATACACTGACAGCACCAAGTTCAGTGCTAAGAGACAGAAGAATTCAAGGCTGTGGCAGAGACAGAACGTGGTCCTTTGCATTTCATAAATGATTACAACACTTGTTCGGGAAAGTGAAAACATGGACTCTCTTCCTGCAGAGTCTGCTGCACTCAACCATCCTCAGGGAGCAAAGTATCAACCTGTCTGTGCAGGAAAACCTGGCATCCCACCTGTTTGAGCTGTGTCATTGCACAGAACAGAGAATACAGCCAGCACTTCCCTGCCAGACAAAAAGACTTATTCCTTGGGTCATTGATGTGGAAGGAGAGATATCCTGGATTTAACTTTTCTCCTAACATTGGTCAGAATACATAAATAATTGCCATTGCATTTTTAAAATTAAGGTGCATATGCAGTCCACAGTGACGAAAAAAAAAAAAACAACACCAAAATCAGAGCAGAAAATAAAGTCATAACTATAAACTGATAGAGGTACAATAATAGATCCCTTGAGTAGGACAGCATTGCAATTTACAGATTTTTGCCAACTAGAGATAAATCAAATGAGAAACAGCTCTCAGAATTATGAAAATTGAAATGGAAGCTTTGCATACAGGATGTGTACAAAAAATAACGGGTCACTGATTTTTTTGCTGTATCCAACCTCTGTCAACATGCTTTAAATGAAAATGCACTCGCATTCAACAGCCTTACAGTTTGGGGTCACGACCTCTTATTTTGCAGGACACTTCGAAGTACTACATATGTGAGGAGAACCACTGTGTTTGCTACGCTGTTAGAAACTAACAGCAGGTTTGAGGCATCAAGCTTACTGCTTTTGGATCCATTGGCAGGTCTCAGCATACGAAAGGCACAGGCATTTTCAACAAAGTATGAAAAACGGCTGTGTGCTGTCCACACTACTTTGTACTTCTGTACCACATGAGAAAAATACATACACGAAGGAAATGGCAAAAATATCAAAACAGGAGAATCATATTAAAAGACCAGCAAAATTAAGACCTTCGTGTAATAGCAGCAGGCCTGGAAACAAAATGGACCATCTTGACAACTAAAGAAAACCATCAAGACCTAATTTTCAGAAAAGCATGTTGTTTGGGGGCTGCTTTAAAGCAATGGCAAGCCAAACATACATATAGGGAGTAAACTAATGCATGCCTATTTCTCTAACTTTGTTGCCAAAAACTACAGACTGGATAATGCCATCAGTTGCACAGACTGGCAGAACTCAAAAAACACTCTTAGAAAATTTACTCCTGCTATTTTCACATGCATTTTCAAATGAATGGCTAACTTCCCTTAGCACTGATTGAATGTAAAAAATATTTTTCTTGATTCTGACAGGCTAAGTTTAAAAATGTTGCCAAACTTCAAACTCACTACATACATAAAACATTTTATTGATAAAGAACACATAGGTAATTATGCAAACCTCTGGTTCTTTATGCTAGCTTCATAGGATACCTCATAAAAGGGCTTTTTTCTTAATTAAATCAGCGAGCAGGCACTCAAGCATCCTTACCATAGTAAATCAATTTGTGTGTGCATTGAATGAAAGCAAATTCAATATATAAACACACCACAGAACTGATTTCACGTAAGCCACTATTATAAGCAGTATGAAATGTGTTTTTAAAAGCACTGTAAGAAACACTTTGACAGTGCTCCTTCAAAGATGTATGTAAAGGGAGGTTGATACCTTCTTCCAATCCATAGATAGATCTGAGCACTTCTGTAGTAAAGAGTGCAGAACTGATTTTTACTTCAGATGTACCAGTAAGATTAAATTGATCTTTGCTCATTGTACCATACAAAAATCAAAAGAAAAGCTAAAGAACATGGGAAAACCCAAGGAATCTGTAGAGGAAAAGGTCATAGATACATGTAGTTTGAGGAAGAAACAGAAGCCTTCTCCCCAAATACCTACACACACCCTTCCATAATCCCATTCCGTTGTTATGAAAAGCTCCGTGTGATTTTTAAGAGACAGGAATACGTCAAAAGCAATATATGTTGAAAACAAGTAACAGCTAGTATGGCCACAGAGCTCAGCTTACACAGCCTGCTAGAACAGAAACCTACAAAGACAAACCTGATATTCCTACCAGTAACTTTGACATTTCCTGCTTTAGAGTACAATAAAACAGAATTTGGTCCTGTTGAACAGGATTGGCAAATCTACAAACCAAAACCACATACAAAATGCAGTATTGATGCCTGCAGGCCTCTCACTCCGTTCCCCAGCTGCAGCCAGGTGGCCCTTTCAACCCACCTTCTCAGGGAGAGCTGCCAATGGGCAGCTCCAGGTGTGCATTTGCAGAGAACTAAACATTTGAGGTTAGGGCTGTAAATATCACGTCCCACAACAATAACAACTAATTAAGCTGATCTGGGTTTTTTAAGCCTTTACACATACGCTTATCTGCAGAGGAATACTTTCCAACCTTGCATAGCTCCTAAAGGGTCTAAAACAGTATGGAAGGCTGGAGCTGAGAAGCTGCTGACACCACAGCACAGGTGTCACCACTTGGTCCTTCTTCCTCCTCATCTTCCTCCAGGCATGGCTCAGCCAGCCTCAGCAAAGTGCAGTTTTCACTGCCAGGTGAGTGGGGTCTTGCCCCCGCTCCCCATGAAAGGCAATTCGGGGAATATTCCTGCAAAGAGTAGGAATGGGGTAAAACCCACAACAACCAGCGACAGCAGCATCGATGAAAAGTGTCAAACCATGGCCCGAAAATCCCAAGGTAGTGCCCTCAGGCTACAAGGTGCCAATGTGATGCTGGCCCTCCTCCCTTAACACTGGCCATGGATTGTTTGGGAATCTAAGGCACAATTTGGAATCATAGAATATTTTGAGTTGGAAGGGATCCGTCTCTTGGTTCTGCGCAGGACTGATGAAGAATCCTGAAGGCACTGTCCAAATGCTTCTTGAACTCAGACAGGGTTGGTGCTGCAACCACTTCCCTGGGGAGCCTATTCCAGTGCCCAACCACCCTTTGGGCACAGAACCTTTTCCCAACCTAAACCTCCCGACTCAGCTCCATGCAGCTTCCTCGAGTCCTGTCACTGCTCACGAAAGAGACTGGTACCTGCCCCTCCACTTCCCCTCTTTTCAGAGAGCCGTGAGTGCGTATATACACGTACATATTTTTATTATTACCACATTTTCCAGGCAGAGGGCTGCAAACCTCTTTGCAAACCCCACCGTACTGTTGCCGGCAATCCTCCTGCCAGGGCTGCGGACAGCGCTCCGCACCCCCGCGGCACCAGCACCCCGCCAGGGCCACAGCCCGGCCCGCGGGACTAGCGCCCCTGCGCTCCCTCGGGCCGCGCCGCCGCCCCCCGCCATGCCAGCAGCCCCTCCCGCCCGCGGGCTCCCCCTACCTGTCCGAGCAGCCGCCAGCGGGCTCGGGCCGCCACCGCGCCGCTCGCCTCGCACCTGCCCGCGGCGGGGCGGCGCTGGGAGCCGGCAGCCTCGGCCATGCCACGGCGGGAGCGCCTGAAGCTGGCACGGCGGGAGGGAGCACTCGCCGGGCCGGCAGGACCGCGCCACCGAGCATCCAGCGGCTGCGGGACCGGCCAGGCTAGCGATGGAGCGGGAGGAGGAGGGCGGCCATCTTTGTTAGGGGCAGCGCTGAGCCGGTCTCTAAGCGGCCGAGGAGTTCCGCGTTCTCCAGGCCCGGCACCGCGGGGGCAGGAGCGCGCCTCAAGACAAGTCGCCTGTGGCCTCCGGGCACGGGACTGTGTGTGGTAGGGCAGCCACCCGAGAAAGCCGCGCCAGGGCCCGCGCCAACCCGCCCGCCGCGGCTCCGAGCCCCTGCGCTGACATCAGCGGCTGAGCCGCTGAAGCGCCCGGCCGCCATCTTGGTTGCGGGCAGCGCCAGGCGGGAGCGCTGCCCCCCGGCTGGCATCTTATCCCGGGCAGCCCCGGCGGAGCGGGAGCGGGAGGAGGAGCGGGAGCGCCACGGCGAGTCCTTGCGCGGGCTGCGGCGGGAGGGACAGCGCTGGAGTGAGCGGGGCCGCGCCGGCTGCTGCGGCCCTGGCCCCGGGGGGACACGTGGGGCCCGACCCCCGCAGGCGGGGTCAGCTCCTGCTGCTGAGGGACCCTCTGGAGAGAGAGCGTGGGTTTGGTGTTGGATGGTGGGGGAGCGGGGGGGTTCGACTTCTGCAAACTCTCCCAGAGTTTTGTTCTTCAGTGTTTGAAGGTGTGTAGTTGCACTTTTCATTCTCCTCATAGTTTCACTGGAGTTAAACTTGAGCCGCCAGGAACGTGCTGGTTAAACTGCAGGTACCAGTTGATAAGAAACAGCCAAACTTTTACTGTGTCTTCTCATATGATTTACCTAATGAATCAATATAATTTCTGTGAGAGAGGAAGTTTTACCTGCAGTTTATGTTACGGTTTTTTCACACACAGTGTAAATGGTCTGCAGTTCGGGATTTTCAGAAATTTCAGGTTGGCTATCAAGAAATGAAGGTTATGATGTCCTGTGTTGGACTGCGAAATCTTCTCCAAGGGCTGAGCTTCAGTGTCAAGTACTACTCTAGCATTAACCGTTTTCAAACAACATGTCCCTGTAGTAAAATTAAAGCAAAAAAATGCCACATCCTGAACCGTTCAGGGTGTACATGCACACACAGGACCGCACCATCTGGAAGCATCCTGCCGTGGAGATTCTTTTCCTGCAAGGTATGCTGTTTAAGTATAGACTAAATGTCAACAACCACCTTGGCATATCTGTTAAGGAAGCCAGCCATACTTTTCACATGTTGAGGAAACATAGTTGTCCCGGAGAATTTGGTGTAGAGGGATAAATACCGGGATATCAGTTACATTCAAGGACACGTACCATTGTTAAACTTTCCTGCGCTGCTTTGATGTAAAGCTGCATTTTCATTGATCTTCCTGGTGTAGTGATTTTTAAAAAACTGGTATCTTCCAGAAACGTTCAGGTAAAGTGTCAGGAGAAAACTGCAGGGATAGCTAGTGTAGAGGCAAAATATCCAAACTGATGACACCATACTTAACCACTGTGAGCTGGTTCAAAAAAAACTTGTCATGCACAGAGTCAGAAAACAATCCGAAATAATTTTAGGTCTTCTGTTCCAGTATTTTTAATACAGATTTTGCCAAATGTATTATAAAAGTTTACTGTAGTATGACAGCCTGGAAACTGATTTACATGCATAATGCAAATGCATAAATACTATTTTAAAAGATTTGTGTATGGGTTTATTTGATCTTAAACATGTTTTCAGATGGATGTGGAGTTGTCCTAAAATTGCTTTTATTTGTCACCATAAACAGTTCCTAAGTCTGTGTCTTAAATGTAAACAAATGTTTCAAGAAGAATATAGGAAGTCTGGATGGATGAGAACGTGTGGTTCAGTTTATTCATTGGCACTTCACTAACACAGTTACAAATGCTGGTCTATGACAGTGGTTTCAGGATACAAACAGATGGTTTTCACCTGAAGGGAAGCTATGCCTGTTTGCTTTGAAGCAAATGTTTTCAAACTGATTGTTACTGAGATCCTCTGCTATGTAGACGTTTCTGGATTACTGTTTTTTCCCCAGGCAGGGAGGTGTACAGTAACTCCTTAATATATCCCTGCACTGTGACCACCAGCTGTGTATAATATTTCCAGATAAATACAATGGGAACTGTTGAAAACAAAAGGAGGGCAATCATCAATATATTCATAAAGAGTGGAACTTGCCAAAATAAGTTGTGCATGCTAAAATTTTACATAGAATCACAGAATCATCTGAGTTGGAAAAGACCTCTGAGATCATCAACTCCAACCTTTGATCCAACACTACCGTGGTTACCAGACCATGGCACTAAGTGCCACATCCAGTCTCATCTTAAAAATCTCCAGGGATGGAGAATCAACCACCTCCCTGGGCAGCCCATTCCAATGTCTGATTACTCTCTCTGTAAAAAATTTTTTCCTAATGTCCAACCTAAACCTCCCCTGGCACAGCTGAAGACCATGCCCTCTTGTCCTACTGCTGGTTGCCTGGGAGAAGAGACCAAGCCCCACCTGGGTACAACCTCCTTTCAGGGAGTTGTAGAGAGTGATGAGGTCTCCTCTGAGCCTCCTCTTCTCCAGGCAAAACAACCCCAGCTCCCTCAGCCTCTCCTCATAGACCTGTGCTTGAGAAATAGGTATAAGGGGAGATCATACGTACACGAGAGAGAGTTTTTAAATATCCAGAAACCATGTTCAGCTCAGGAAATGCCTGAGCTAAAATTGTTGAAGGCTGGGGAAATACCTGTTGAGGAAAATAATCTGGCTTGTCCCATTTTTATGCTTTCCTAAGTATCTCTTTATGGCCACTCTGAGTTTTTTATTTGGTTACATTAGTTTGAGGAATAGTGTTTTCTTAAAACAGTTTTTCCAGTGACCGGGAAGAAGGTGGTACAACTTGAGCATCCTGCAGTTTCTTTACCCTGACCAATTGCACAGTTGCTCCAGAGGTTCTCTAAGGGCTTTCACTATTTCTTTGCCTTGCACTTCCAATTTGAGGTACCAGGTGAGAGAGACCCATTGGTCTGAACCAATAACAGACACTCTTAACGCCTCAATGATGTGCTTTATGTTCACAGGGAGTTTGGTAAATGGAGCAAATAGTTTCTTTTCCCTTCAAAGTCTACTTGTAATGTTCAGATTTTGATCCACATGCATTTGTGAAGAAAAACTAGGAACAAACCAACAGTTCTTGATGCAAAGTGAGGATGGGGTATAAAGCATAGGCTGCTTTTTAGGCTTAGACACATTCATATCATACACTGAGTGTTAGAAAATGCTACTCTGTATGATCTGTGCAGGGTTATGTAGTGTAATATATGTTGTTAAGCTTATTACTTGATCAAGTGAGATTTCACATCATGCAAGAGGAATTAGCATTGTTCTAGCAGTTTTAACACATTTTTAACATTTTTACAATAGAAGACAGCTTTGTTGGCAATGAGGTAGCATGGAAACCGAGTTCCTTAAACTTATTCCTGATAAAATTGTTGCAGAATCCATATAAGTTCACTGCTCCACTTCATTCTGCACCTTATGAACATTTATATTAAAACTTTTGAGGAAGTGGAGCAAGAACCTGAACAAGGACTCCCAGGTACTGGGACAGAGGTTTGAGTGGTATTGTTGTCTAGGGAAGGAAATGAGAAATTACACTCTAAAGACAGGAAATTATGAAAGAACACCAGTGAAGAAGGAAAAATAATAGAATTCCATAAAAATTAACTAAAACCTAGTTCTAGAAAAAGAGCAAATATATTAACTCATAATCAATTAAGAGCATATATTAATAGTACCCTAAATTTTGAAGACTTCAATAAATGTGTCAAGTAAAGCACATTTGACAATGCCTCTTCAAAAGATCAGGAAGAATTACAATAAAAACATAATTCAACTGTGGTTTTTCTTTTTAATGGCACATACTGTTGTAATAATGCAAAGTTGGTTTGGGGTCTGTAGCTCAGGAAATACTGCCTCAGTATATTCATATTGGTGTACAGTGTGCTGGCTTGTAGCCATTGCTGTCTTTCTTTACTTAGCAGGAAGGAACAAGAATCTCCTCCAAAAGGAAGCGAAATACATCCGTAGTAACATCAGAGCTTTTGCACAAGAATCTTCTGAAATCAGAGCAGGAAAACTGGAATGACATTTCACCAATATACAAACCCATGACAAAGAGAATCAAAGAAAAACTAGAAGAATTTCACAACAAGTACACATTCAATTCAGAAAGCCCAAGGGTAAGTGGGTAAAAAAATTCATTTCCCATTGTTAACTACAAATAAAAAGCAGTGAAGCCATTCCTTCTATAAAATGCTCATTTGTTGATTATTTTATGGTAGAAGTTTTGAATATTTTAATAATTGTGGGTAGTAGCAGCATGTGTTTAGAACAGCTTATTCCTGTTATGATAGTGAATTTACCTTAATTTCTCCATAGGCAAAAGCAAGTAAAGATACAATAATCATCTGACTTTTGCATAAAGAATACAAGACATTTTAAGTTGCAAGAGAATTGCAGTGATCTGAGGCTTTTGTTAAATTTAAAGCAGATACAGGAAGCTTTAGTACCCTAACTTTGAAAGAACCTTTGTGATGCGTGCAATTCCTTATTCAGTACCAAATATATGTGCTATATTCTGTCATTTTTATATGGTACAGTTCTGTTGTACAGAACAATGACTGAATAACAGGGATTCTAAGGAAATAGTCTAACTATATGTTGGACTTGAAACATGCTTGTTTTGTATTGAACAGATGAGGTTTGGAGAGAATGTGTACTTTGAAGAGAACGGCTGCATATTTCTTTCAAAAGCAGATGATGGTAAGGGATTTATCTTCCTAATACGGTAGGATTCTTAAAAATGTTGTACATGTATCACTTAGTGTTCTTTTGTTACATTAAAGCTGAGTTTCTCTGTTTGTCAAAATAACTAAAAATACTTTAATACAATTCTTTAATGACTGATTAATAATTCTAGAATCTTGAATCTGAAAAGGGGAGGTGAAGACGGTTAGAGAATAGTATATATTGATACTAAGGCAAGTTGCTGGAGAGGAAAGAGAGAAGTCACTTCTTTTCATAGCCCTGATTAAACATTTTGAAAACAGAAAAAAACATCCATGCTTTTGTATTTCTGAGGGGGTGGAAAAAAATTACTAATTGTATTAATTGAAAACAAGCACGCTTTTGCTATCTGAGCTGTAAAATTCAATATGTTTACTATAAGCCAGGATCTACACTTTTAAAGTATTTTTAGTAATAACTACAGGGCTTTTTTTTTCTTCTGGAACTTTTTTGTTTAGTTTTATGAAGTGCATTTGCAAATATCTTGCAAGACAGATATGTGGTGTTCATAAATTCCAGTACTATGCTTGTGAATATTGCAGGCAGATTTGTTAAATGCAGGCATTAACAATGACCATTCATTTTGACAGAGTCTTAGTTACAGGATTTTTTGCTTTTTTTTTAATGTAGATGAAGGAAATGTTGACATTTTATTCAGTACTGATGATCTTGGCTTTTCTGATGCCTTTATTCAACGAATCAGAATTTCACCAGATCAGACATACATGGCCATCAGCTTAAAAAGTGAAAGTTCTGAAGAAGCAACCTGCGTTATTCTGAAACTTGGTCATTTTCCTGTTGTGAAAAAAGTAATTCCAAGTGTATTTAGCTTTGGTAAGTTGCTTATAAATATCCTGTGGATCACACCAGCTTTTGACACAACATTTTTCTTAGTCTACAAATAATATTAAAATATTAAAAAAAAAAAAGTAGGCAGCATTTAATCCTAAAGCTGTTGAATTGTTTCTTATTTATGATTTCTTTCACACTGCACAATTATAAGTTATCTGATGTGGGTGAAAGGGACTGCTTTCTTGATACAAGTTTTCCTTCATTGTAAAAGCAATCATTTATACATGTTAGAACAGTCATGCATATAATTTTTTCTATTGAATTCAATATGCTGTTTAAAAATGTTTGTGATTTTTTTGAGAAATGTTCTAGTTGATAAACTATTACAGCTACAAGTGAAGTCATTGATAGCTGTAGATAATTGGCTTTGCTGGAAAAGTGTGAAAGTACCACCTACTGTTGGGTATTGGCTGGAATTTCAGCTCAAATCTCAACTGGATGTGGATCACAGTTCAGAGGCCAGTGAAGTCAGCCAGTCTTTCAGAATAGATTACAGAGGTTTACACTGCTGTTAAAATAAGCAAAGGTAAACTGAAGTAAATGGGAAATCTTTCTTTTTTTATAGTATGTTAAAGAATATAGCAGAAAGAGTATAATAGTATGTATACAATGTTCCACATCTTGTAGTTTGGATTATATTTTTGGATGTCATCAAATTTATATAGTCCAGAAAGCAATTTGCTTGGGCAGGGTGAAAAACTAAAATCTAGGTAAAACTTCCTAGTTATAAAAATGAAGAGTAGCAAGAATTTAGTGTTGTGTTTGCACAACTGAAGATTAAAATGCCTGTTGAAAACTGAGCCTGCAAATTTGCCAGTGATGTTTTACACTATACTTGATTTGAACATCTATCTAGGTCCAGAAGAATCTGGACCAACAGGCCCACAGTAGGTATGACAGATTATGGCAGATAATAAAAGTATGAAAGATGGCTATCAGAATTGTAGAGATTATACTACCTTTGTAAATTTAGTCAGGTGTGAGTGAGGTACAGATGTATCATGAAGTACAGAGGTGTGTCAATCATGAGGAAGAGAATTAGGTCTTATGACCACTTGCAAAGTATGTGCTTGTACCGAGAGAGATGCAATAGCAGGGAGAGAAACAGAAGTTCTTGAAAATTTACGTCTTGATTTCTTAAATGCTAGGCTATAGAAGAACTTGGATTTCCCTTCTAAAGGCTTGTCTTCATAGGGAACCCTCAGCTACCTGTGCACTTGGGAGCCACATTGCTTTTCAGATAGCAAATTGTTTGTGTTGCTTCAGTGTGCTACTTCCTCAGGTTTTTTTATAGTTATATATAAAATATTTATATATAAGGCAACATGCAATAACTTTTTAAACCATAAGTGTTAAACGTTTTTCTGGTGGCTGTAGGAGCAACAGAGATAGCAGTAATGTGGCTGGATCAGTCAGGTTACTGAACTTCAGAACAACAAGGTTCCTGTATTTGTACATCTCTAATGTTGGTGAACACATATACAGGCATAGAAAACTGGAGAATTTTTATCTCAGCAGTACCCACAGGGCACATGCATCATCTCTTTTCTCTGAATGGTTTGCGTGCAGTCACATGCAGCAGTGCAGAGCTTATGCTGTCTTTATTATCTCGCTGACTCCACGTAAACCTCTGTTTCTCTGTTCGGTTTTAAACAGCCACATATCTTCTATTTTCCTGTTATCTCCAGAACCCCCACAGGGTCAAGAGCTTCCTGTTACTGGGGCCCATAACATTGTCCTCTACCTTTTTTTTTTTTTTAATATGTTATGAGATACTTGTTGTATGGTGTTCAAAGAAAACATGGGAAAAAGCTTTTTGTAGCTTACCCCAGTCCATGCAGGATGTAGAAATGCTGTCCTCAGTTCATGTCAGCTGCAACCCACCTTTTTCAGCATTGAGTCCAATGTCCATGATCTCCATTTTCTCTCAGTAATAGTATACACTGTTCCAAATTTGATATGCATGTCTTTTTTTCCAGAATGGGCTGCAAATGATGTTCTGTATTACACAACTCAGAAGAACCTTAAATGCCAGAATGTGTTTATGACCACTTTCACTTATCAGAAACATACTAAGTTAGTTTATACAGAACAAAATGCAAGGTAATACTTACCTAAAAATATAACAAGTCCTTTACATGTTTTAGAGTGTTTTATATGTATAATACAGCTGGTTCAGAAAACAAAGTGTTCCATATCATATTTCAAATGGTAAAATGCATTTTTAAGTTGTGTTCCACTGTCAGTAGTGCCTTATACAGTCTGTGAATGTGCTTTGTTCTCCTTTTGATATGTGATCAACAGAGATTTAACTTTCCTCTGTTACCTCACGAGTTCAATTGAGTTTATAAATGTCAAGGTCACTCTCAGGTCAGGGTGTCCTTTAATGAATGTGTGACAGTTTCATACAGGGTAAATCAGACAGTAGATTTCATTTTGTTTTCTCTGCTATTGATGTCTGATACATCTTTAAAAAAAAAAACAACACAGAAGTTCAGGCTAATCCTTGCTCTGGGTAATGGATGAGCAAAATCATTACAGCATTCCCAGAGATAGAACTATTGTTGACTGAATACCCTCTCAATAACCTTTCTTTAAGCAGTGGTTTAGGAAGACAAGAAGGCTCTTTGCTAAACTGAGTGCAGAACTAGTTTTTCAACCATGCAGAGTGTGGTAGATTTATACAGCATTCTGTAAATGTTTGTGATTACCCTTAATTCAAGTTACATATTCAATAAAGAAATTTCAATAATACTTTCATCTGGGAAAAAAAAATCTGCAATTGAGATGGAGTAAATAAGATCCTTTCATTCCAGCTGCATTTGATGCATAGTTTTGGAAAATCAAGTTCCACTGACCTGACACTTCCCCACAGGGAAACCGTTGGCATAATTCTGAAGGTCACAGTCATTACAGTAAATCTACTAGAAACTTACTCTAAAGGGTCATGTGCTACTGCAGCTCATAGCTGAACTTCTTCATCAGAGATGGCAAGACATTCTTTTGTACTGCCACTGAGCAGTTCCATTCTACATCTCACCAGCTCTTCTATTGCAATCAGGTATTTTTTTTTTAGAAGTGGAAAATTTCTTGACTTCCTTAAAAAATAATAGACTTTAGACCCCTCTCTGTGCCTGTTCTCCTAAAGATGTCAAGAGGGTGCAATTAGAGGAAACAATAGTACCAAAAAAATTGGAGTTCTCCACCTGCAAATAATTAAAGGCACTGAAAATGCTATCTAAAGCATCCTTTCCTTCACCAGTCAATTTTGAATTCTAGAGATATCATTATTGCAGTCATGTATCTGATCTGTACGATGCCGATTACGGTACTCAACCCTGCAATTTCTTGATGAAATCTGGATCTTTGTGATCGACAGCTTTGCTTTTAGAGACATCAGTCTTAAAGATTCAAAATGCCAAAGAAACTGCAGTGTCTCAAGATGCGACATTCCAGTTAATTAGGATGACTCACAGAAATTTGAATCTGAATTTCAGCCTGAACTTCTCTAATACTAGCATGCAACCAGTGGTTATCATTGTTTTCTATTTCTAAATTTTAGAGGCATTTAAAACCAGTAGATAATTCCTGGTTTCTTAGACACTTCCAAAACCAGTTCCTAGTTTCCAGCTTTATCACTGCAACACTGTCCATCTTGTCACATTTTTTTTTAAAATAGTACTTTTTGTCTTATTTGCTTCGAAGTTAGGTCAGTAGAAAATAGACATTTTATCAATTTATCTTTATAATAGCTCTTTTGTTATTGCTGTTCCCACATTATGTCCTTTATTAATTTTAATTTAAATATCTATTACTATTTAAAAAAAATTAGGGTTACAAGCTCAATAAAAAGTTCTTCATTTTGCCTGAATTTTAAAGCCTACACAGATCAATAAGCTTCCAGTGATGCAAAAACCTGAGTTCAGTTGGGCAGCAATTGAACTGCTTTCTTTGCAGATTTCAGGTTCCACACACAACATTGCAGGGTTTTGAATCCCAGGATAAATGCAGCAGAAGTGGGTTTGGGAGTCAAGTAGCCTGAAATTTCTCCAGCCTACTTACAGGCATGGGGTTTTTTACCTTGCAGGTGGAAGCCCATGATTCTGAAACAACATGCATTTTTAAAATACTAATCAAATTTAGGCTTTTTCTTTTTTTTTTTCTAATTATTCCCTACAGATTCTTTGTAGACATTTATCTCACAAAAGACAGGCGTTTTCTCACTATCAACAGCAACAGCAAGACAACCTCAGAAGTTTGGCTGGTTGACTGCAGAAATCCTTTTGCATTACCTGCACTTGTACAAGCACGAACAAAAGGGGTCATTTACCACATCGAGCATAGAAATGATGAGTTATATATTCTTACTACATATGGAGAACCTGCAGAATATAAGGTAATTTTAACTGATAATTAGAGTCACGGGATTCATTCAGATCCCTACTGCAGATCATATAGAAATAGTAAGGCTGAATTTTCATTTTGTGCTTCACAGCTTACTGAAATAATTTGAGAATTACACAGAGAGCCACATGGATTGAAAAGAGTGATAGTGTGACAGGAAGTCTTGCCAGTAGCATGCCAGTTTGATTCTAACTCCTTTGACAGCATCAAGAAATGAGTATGCTTTAACAGTCATGTCCCCTATATTGAAATTTAAGTTGGTGATCTCGGTCTGTATAATCAACCTACCTACAGTTCTGCTGGCCATGCTGAAAGCACTTACTGCATTAAAATCTTCTAAAGATTAACCTCTGAGATTTGATCTTCTCCAAATCTCACTGAATTGTTCTTCCATTTTGCCTAAGTAAAGGGAGTTTAAAAACCTCCAGTTTTAGTCAGGCAAACACCCCCGATACAAATGAGTATTTTTTTTCAATAAAAACGCTCTAAGAGATCCCCTGTATGCCTGTACCTCTAATTTGTAACTCTTATTATCTCTTAGTAATACAAAGTTGTTTATTTTATTTTTATAGTTGATGAAGGCACCGGTAGCTTCCAGCGGCAAGGAGAACTGGCAGTTAGTTTATGCACTGGAAAAGAAAACAAAGCTAGTAGACTTTGAGATGTTCAGTGATGACTGTATTATGTTCCTGAAGAACGCTGGTCATCTTTACCTAAATGTGATTTCTTTTGTTTCACACTCGGTTCAGTCAATAAAGGTATGTTTTATTTGGCTTAAGCAGCATGTTTTTCCACCACTATTTAATTTTTTTAACATAGCATAATGAAAGCAAAGATAAATGCTAAAAGTAAAAGTGGTTTGAAAAGTATAATAGAACAAAGTTTGTTGTTATGAGTAATTGTATTTACCTGTGGGTGTTCTTCAGGATTTCATGTGGTGGCTTACTGCAGCAAAGTTAAAGAGCAGCTCTCTTATGAGTCAGTTCTTTCTTCAATATACTACAGTCAGCCTCTTTACAATACAGCTGATTTCTTATGTAAAATAGGACTTGATTCCCTAAACACTCTACTTAGTTTTACTGGGCCTATTTTTGGTTACACACATTGGTGTAAGCAAGGAAATAAGCCCGGCCCTCCAACAGAAAAAAGATTAGAGGAATGTTTAGAACACAAGTATGGACACTGCCATAATAAATGGGAAGAGTTGACATTACAGTACAATTGTTGCAAAGTATTTCTTCCCTTCTCAAGTTCTTGCTACATACTTGTGGATTAAAACCAAAGTGACTCGATTCAAACCCATGATTTCTGGAGACCATTCAGATGAAATAATTAATTGATTTGTTTGTCTGAAAAATACAATCTGAGCTACTTAAAGTTTATTGCAACAAGCTGCCAATGCCACATTCTATAAAACTGCAACAGAAAAAGGTTTTCAAGAAAGTACACCGTATGGTCTCCAAAATCTTCATTTTTTAAAATGATGTTAGTTTATTTATTCAGAAAGGGTCTGCAGTTACTCGGGAGAACTTGGACTTTTGCTGCCATTTCGGAAGTCTCTAACAACTTAACCCGAGTAAGTAATGGTCTGGCAAAGGGTTTGGCTATGTCCCTGCTGCTCTCAAAGAATGAATCTTGATTTCTTTCATTCTTAGCAGAGTTAAAAACCTTAAATATAATAACAGTAAGTATCTGAGGGTGAATGTGCCAGGAAAAGGTTTTGTTCTTCACAATGGCTGGCACTAGGAACAAAGTTAAGAGGCAGGGGTTTTCAGTGGCTTAGCATTACTGAGCTAACTCACAGTAAAAGCATAACAGCTGACATGGACTTGGCTGCATAACATGTTGAAGTGGAACTGGAAATGCAGTGAGAAATAGGATCTAAAAAATAAAAACTAATGAGGAATCATTTCAAATACTGATTCAGTTTAAAAAAAAATAGAATCTGTATTAATGCCCATTTTAAACTGAATTTGAATTTGTTTTTCTTTTTTATTTCATTGTTGAACTTTATCCAATGGCCTCGGGGGAAAAGTTCACCAGTCTGTCACTTTTTGACTCTTTCACTACTGAATTTAAAAGAAATACAGATTGTGCTACATACAAACTAAAGATAATAGTTAATATCCAAAGCCTTTTCCTCTGAAGGACACACTAAGCAAAATTTTCAGCAGCAGTGTAAGGGTCTCACTTGAAATGCCGTGTTTTCTCAGCTACCTACGTGGGCCTGTGAATTTGAATTGGAATATCATCCTGAACATACCACCAGCACTTGCTATTTTCAGCTGTCCTCCCCAGTACACCCCCCTAAACGTTTTGCATATTCATTTAAAGAAAATAATCTCATTGAACAAGCTGTGCAAGAGGTACCAATTATTACGAATTGTCACACTACACGTTTACTAGCTAAAAGCAAGGTAAGATTTTTTCAGTCCTTTCCCTTTCCTTTTATTCTTTGCTTCCTCCCCACCCATTTAAAGAAAGTGCATTTGGCAGGGAATAGAGATTAAAAAATGTAAAGAGCAGTTGGTGCTATAGTTACTAAACAGTGGGTGTTTTCTTCAGTGCTATAGAGAAGAACAAGAAAGAGTCGTGATTTTTTTTTCCATTAACCTGGGTATGCCAGAGGAGATAACAGCATATGATGAGTCAAGGATCTTAGTATAGTATAAGTTAGAATTGCTGGTTGATGTATGGTATTGTACTCTGCATGATAAATTAAAAAGACGCTCTGTTGAAAAGAGCTCCCCACAACCAGCTGCACGGTGTAGATCAAGAAAGGAAAGTTTTAACAGCCTGAGTTTAAAAATTTGGAGATGTTAATAAAGAGTTTGTACTGTGGTAAGTGGTAAACTATTTTGTTAATAACATATATTCTTGGTGTTAAAGGGGGAAGGAAGACTCGGGTGCTTTGGTAGTTTAAAAACTCCTCAGGTGTTGCACTTAAATGAATTTATACTCTGCCCACACAGCAGAGGTTCAGTCTCATGCTTTATTTTTCAAGAGTGCTTTGAATATTCTAAGTGAAAAAAAATTACTGTAATCAAAAAAACACATTTTAAAATAAATAATTGAAGTTTTCATTGCCATGTGTCATTGAGATTTCTGCAATGTCCCTTATTGTAAAAATACTCCTTTTCCAGGATGAAACTTTGGTGCCAATTACAGTTTTTCATAATATGAATTCTGAAGAGCTACACAGGAAACCACTTCTAGTTCATGTATATGGAGCTTATGGCATAGATTTGAACATGAGCTTTAAAGAAGAGAAGCTGATGTTAATTGAAGAGGGTTGGATATTAGCATATTGCCATGTTAGGTAAGTCAAATATAAAATGGAATTAAGATTTTAATCTGCAGGATATACAGGTATTTCTTGATGTGCAACTGAAGATGTAGAGAAAATTTTTTTCATGTAGCTATATGTAGTTATTCATCTCTTTGTAGATTTTTTTAACATAAATTTACCTCAGGGAAAAAGAAGACGAGCACATATTGCATTTAGGTTTCTTAAATCTACAGGATGGCTGTACATAACTTTCAATCTTTTGAAGTCTCATTACCTCGTCTCATCTTTGCTCAACAAAAACATTGATAACACGTTCAAATTGCAGCAACATGTTACCTCCCTCCCTTTCTGAGGGCACTGTGTGCTAGTGATCAGTCTATGTCTTCCGAAAACCATTTGCCTTCTACAGCAATAACTAAGCATTTAACCCACATCTCTTGCTCTTTTATTGGCTAAATCCTCTGTCTCCAGTTTAGCTACAAATCTACCAGTTTTCTAAAACCAGGATGTACAATAGGCTTCTTCACATTTTCACTGAGGTAAGTATGTAAGGAAGACAACAAAAGAGTCACTTTAGGGGAAGGAAATTAAGGGGGGGGCAAATGCATAACTGTTTGAAACACCAGGCCCAAAACAAATTCAGCATACAAATATATCTTCTGTACTCAAGTGACAAGCGCTGTGCTATTCTTCTTCCTGCCCCACTAAGTATCTTAAGATGCAAGTCAGTCTTAGATGAAGATGAGTTCTTCATCCAAAGATGGCAGACTAATCAGTTAATTAATTTAAACTTGAAACCGGAAAAGGAAGCTTCAGGTGGCTTAGAAACAAAACTGTGGTTGTGTAGAAATAAATATAAATTCATTCTATAATCCTGTATTACAAAATGTAATATTTCAAGTAGTATTTGAAATTCACAAACTAGGGGGAAAAAAAAACCCCAAACCCACCTTTCTAACAGTCTCAGAATTTAAGCTATGCAGAATTCAAATCCTGAGAGTCTGCTTTGGAGCTGAGAAATACTGTTTTACTGTTTTGAATAAATGCTAGTGTTAGTGATGTAAGTATTGAAAATGTTTTAGATGTTCTAATAGTTTCTTGTGTAGAAAGGTAATATTATTGTCTGATTTTTTATTGCCTGCAAGGACGGTGTCCTAAAGTGGTGCTTTCTCTGTGAGTTCCAGGACACAAGCACAAAAGGGCATGGAGTGCCCTTAGAGAGTTAGTATTGTCACCAATCATCATGCATGGATTTATTTTTTTGTCTTCATGTTGTGTCTTTTAGCCATAACTGAAGGTAAAGATAAAAACAGAGAAAACAAGAGTTAATTAGGAAGGCAGACTATGGTTTTGCAACTCTGTGGCTGCTGCTGCTCTTACATTATCTGAAGTTTTGCTGTGTAATATTTTCCAGAGAGACTCAAACTTGAATTTCTTTAAATTTCAGGGGTGGAGGAGAGCTAGGCCTTAGCTGGCACAAAGATGGATGTCAGCATAATAAACTCAAAGGTCTCCAGGACCTTAAGGCTTGCATCATGCTGCTGCACGAACTGGGGTTTTCTCAGCCAAAACACACAGCACTGGCAGCTGCCAGTGCTGGAGGAGTTCTTGCAGGAGCCCTGTGCAACACTGATCCAGAACTGATCAGAGCCATGGTTTTACAGGTGAGGTGCTGCAGACCCTTTATGGATTATAACATTAAGCTGTATTTTCTGTTTCATTCTACCAGTTTCTGAATTGGAAACATTCCAATTCAAAATTCACTTTCTTCATTTGTTTGAGAACACATTGACTCAGGCATTCAAGGTCCTCTGTCCTATTTGCCAACTTTTTTTTCTTTTCATGACTTCTAAGGCTCCTTTTGTAGATGTTCTAAATACAATGATGAAAACTCATCTCCCACTGACAACTGAGGAACAAGAAGAATGGGGAAATCCATTAGAAGATGAAAAATGTATGAAGTATATCAAAAGCTATTGTCCATACCAGAATATTAAGCCACAGGTAAAACTATGCTTTCTGTGTGGAATACTACAGTAATAAAGTGTAGTGGTTTACAACTTTTTGCAGAAAACAAAAAGTGGGTAACAAATTTTTAAAAAACTCCAATATTAATTATTTCTGTAATAATCTTAGCAATATTTGGAGTCACAAGTGACTACTGAGATTAACTGAATGCCTTCTCCTAAATAATCAATATATTTCAAAACTTACCTTTTAGGACTCCCAGGAAGTAATAGATTACTGTATGGTATAACAAACCTCAACATGCAAAATATCTTCTCCTTTTGTGGGGGCTTTCTGTTGTTCTACTGGGCTTTGCAGACTTTGTCACAGAAGGAAGGCAGTATTTTCAACTGATTTAATACCTTCTAAGAGGCAAACACCGCAGTGGAAAAGGAGCTATAGCTTTGACACTGTCATCTCAGGGGAAATCTTTCTTTATCTGAAATAATGTGTTAGCTGTGTTACATAGCTTCATTAAGTAAAATCTTACTATTTAAAAAACCAACTCTTTCTCTGCAGAAAGATAGCAAAAATAAAGCTCAGCTATTGTTCTAAGGTGAACCATTCCATGACTACTACTCCTTTTTTTTTTGCAATTATCAGACTTATACCAGTGGGAGGAGGATGTTTTTGATGACCTTGCATGTAGATAATCCCCTACTAGGAAGTAATTTTTCAGACCAAAATGTTTTTTTTGCAGTTAGTGATAAAAGTGAGGGGGTTTTAAGTAATTATGTAATACATGTTTTTAGATAAATCCTAACACGTTGTACAGTAAGAAAAAAATCTGTTACTCTGTGAGAAGAACCAATTGTCAAGTATTTAACTGGTTTTGGTTTTTAACCTCAGCGTTATCCTTCAGTTTTTATCACGGCATATGAAAATGATCAACGGATACCATTAACAGGAGTCTTACGATATGTTCAGAAACTTAGGAAGGCTGCACTAGATCATGCCAGCAGAACAAGTAAGAAAGGTAAGGATAAGGATATTACAGGTAAACGGAGTTGGTTAAACCAAATATTAATAGTCATGTAATTAAACACCATAGAGATTGACACCTCCTTAAATTAGTTCATTTGTACAACACAATCCCATATTTTTAGCTCCACAGCAGGCTCTGAGATGCAAAAAAAGACTGGCTCACTCTTTCTTAGGCCTCAACATATGGCAGCTGTTGGGCAGTGCAAGGTGAACCCATACCATCAGTCCAGCTACCAGCAGGCCCAGACTGCAGTTCTCAGCAATGCTTGGATAAAAATCTTACTTTTGCTGCTCTACAAAAAACAACTTTTCTCACTTTGATAAAGCTGCAGGTCTTAGTCCAAGGCAGAATGACAGCAAGGCCAAGGCACAGGTGCTTTTATACCTGAAACTTAACACTAGCTTTGGGATACTTTCCAGCAAAAGGTACATTCAAGCCTTACCATTTTCTAGTACTGTCTCATCTGGGGAGAGGTTTTTACCATCAGCATCAAAAGAGATCTTGAATAACCTTTTCTAATTTTCATTATGCCCTATATCTGCAAGCAGCCCAACTGTGATGCTTGAGAAATTACAGCAGATGCTGCAGTTGCTGTTGCAATCTTTGCTCAGAAATCAAAACCCACATCTTTAAAAAGACTCAAAGAGAACAAACACACTAAATACATAAATATTTCTCCAATATGCAATTAATAGAAATACAAATAATTCATTCAGAAAGCCGCTATATGATCCTTTTTTTTTATTTTTTAAGGAATAATAGAAATTCTGTCAGGACCGAAGGCAGAATTATCTATACCTAAACAACTCACATCTCCACTTACCTTTTTCCTTGTTCATTCAATGTAAAGTGATCACTAGCTTCATTGTTCCAGGAAATTGGATTCCTAATATCATCTTAGATGTCCAGGCAAATGGCAGCCATTGTGATTCATCTTGGGAGCATTCAGTGAGTGAGGTATGTTCCCTTTATTGTACATGTCCATGATGTGTTGGAGGGAGGTGTCCCCTCAATTGATACTTCAGTTTCAGTAGTTGTGCAGTCACTGAACGTATGTTTAAAGTATAAAAAAGAAAAACTGCAAGAGCAACTGCTGGTCTTATATATCTATAACACAGCAATTTATATACATAATTATATATATTTATCAATATATATAGATAGTTCAATAGATAGAAAAGAGACAGTGACAGGGCCAGATTATTGAAACAGCCTCAAAACAGTTTTCAATTCCCACTGTAATGTGTTGAGAGCATTGAATGAAAGGTTCCAAGTTGGGCAAAACATTATTCCAGCAGAAAAAGTCTTGCACTGTAGAGTATTAAGTGCTTAAAATTGTCATACTATTTACTTCCATCTTCTTCATGTGTAAGACATATGATGGGTTTGATCTTTACATTTTGAAATGCATGATCTGTACTATCAAAGCTATTACAATTAGCTTTCAAGATTTTGCACTTTATACAAGTGTGCCTGCTAAGAGCAACACAGTATATTGTTATCAGTGTCTCAGACTATCACAGTTGGATACAAATTTTATTACTGTTATTTTGAACAAATCCTAGCAAATGTTAATTTGATGATTGTGGCAGTAACTCCCAAAATGAATTCCTTCAGGAAGAGCTTCATTCTGTTTTAGAGCAAGATATTTCTTAGCATTAGTCTAGGAAAGGAAGAAGATTAGGATAGCTGCACAAGAGCCTGAAGGTTTATAGTGCAAAGAACTTTACTTTGTAATAAAATATTTTCATTATTTTAGGTCGCAAGACACCTTGCTTTTCTGAATAAAGAACTTGAGGAAGTATGCCATCTCCAACATCCTAGCAAATCCTGCAGATAGCTAATAAACACAATGACCACGTGAAGAACTTTGGGTCGGATTTTTATTTATATGGAAAGCAAACACCTTCCCCAGAGGATCTTTGCTCCTGGATCCCTGCTTTATGGGCATAAGTGCACAAAGCTGGGTGTGGCATTGGCTTATAAACATACAGACCAAGAACTGAATTTCTCTGCTGCCTGGTAGTACAGAAGTAGCTGCCAGCATAAATCAGTTTGTTCAGCAAGTTCTGTTCACGCAAGCCAGCAGTGCAGAGCAGAGCTGAGCACAGTGACTGGCACATAAAACCTCACGTGAGTAGCACACGCACTTTGTACAGGGAGCCTCTCCATCCTAAGCCATCTCTTTTAAGACCACCTTTTACACAAGGCAGTAAAACTCCTAAGTAGTATTTGATGAAAAAGTCTCACTACTTCTAAAACTAATTCCCATATGTAGGTGATGATGACTGCTGCCCTTCCTATCTACACAGCAGTCATAGTGTACTGATCATATGGTGGGATCAATCAAACTGCAAAGAAATGGACTCTCAAGAACAGCAACTTTAGCAGAACTCTTTGATCTGAGTAGATTAAAAATCTTGCAGTTACCTTAGTTAGCATGGTAATCTTAAGAAGGAGGTGCCAAAGTCCCTCTGGAAGACAAGATGAATGCCCCAGAGGATAATGCCAGAATCTCTCCAGAGGATAAAACAAAAAGAATGCCCCCACTGAAGCAGCCCAGTTCATAGCTTAGCTGCCCTCTAAGCAAGGCACAAACCAGCTGTGCATTGCTTGTTAAAATACATGCTTGGTGCACACCTAGGGCCAGCAGTGGGTGGAAGATACACTGTGGCCATACTGTCCTCAAACCAAAACAAAGTTCCCCGATGGACCCCTGTGCCCACAGCAGACTGCACCAAGTTAAATGCTGACTCTTCCTTTGGGCCACATCAGCCACTGTAGGTGCAGCACATGCAAATCAAAGCACAAGTGCGACAATCAGCTTCAGCTGTGATAGTTGCTTCAGCTGCATACTCCTAACTAAAGTGCACAGCCCTCACTCAGCCTTAGGGTAGGAAGAGAAGTAAGAGAATGCAAATGTATTCTAGTTCAGCAGCGAGGGGAGGAATCAATTTGAAATGCAGTCCTGAGTGTAGAATTAGATGTATTAGCTATATTTTGTTCTTTTTCTTACTAACTTTGAGGATAATCAGAGCTGTTAGAGTTGAGAGAAAAGACATCACAACCATATATATCAGTCCTGCTTGTGTTTACCTGTTTAAGCAAATACAGGGCCACCCCTTTAGAATAAGTTTCACAAATCTACACATTTGTAAACATTTATTATGAACTGCCACAGGCTTTGGAGCTCTTAATAACCAGCAACTGTAAGGGGTAGCACCCAAAAAGCAACTGTTATCTTTCCTCCCAAAAATACACACACTTTAACAGGACAGTTTTTTATAGGTTTACTTTTCTTCTCCACAGACCCTAAAGGGGAGTTTATACCATACTTTTTCCTTTTCATCACCAATTCACATAGGTGTCTGTTTAAGTTTTCAGGTTATTTTGTACAAAGTTTGAAAAGCCAAAGAAAACAATGTTTTTAGCATTTCCTTGAAACCAATATCTTCTAAATTAACACGAAAGCTTAGTTATTCTACTCCTGTACTTAACAGTTCATGTAGAGTAAATTTAAGGCCATGGAATAACAAGCTTTTTCTGCCACAAAACACTTTCCTTGAAAAGCTTCCATAGTATGGACAGGCTTTGCTGTTTTATATTCGAGGACCAGGCCTTCTCCCATTTCAGTTTTAATTAGTTTGGCAGAGACAGCTTTACCAGCATTGCTAAAATTAGTACTTAGCCTTATAACAGCTTCAGAGGGAAGATTAGGAACTATAGCTTTCAGGTCTATTGTCGATTCCTGCCCGAAGTTGAGGACCATCATGAAGGTTCTGTCTAACCCATCCAGTTCCCTCACATACACAAACACGTTACTGTCGTTCCAGATGTAGCACATCCAGCCCCGATTAATGGGGAGCTCGTTGTTGCGAAGTTGCGTCAGCTCTCTGTACAAATTCAGGGTTGAGTTGGACCAGGTCCTCTGGATCTGCAACAGTCAGTGTGAACAGGGTCAGTTCTTGGCACTGCACGTAGGGAATGCAGCTTCCCTCTCACGCCCACTCAGTCTGCTGAGAACACGCTGTGGTGGTTTGGGCTAGGCCTTCCTTGGTGACCAGTTTGTAACCAAGGAAGGGTCCAGATTTACCCAGTATTCCCTACGATTTTTACGTAAGCCAGATTATAAGAAGAAAGGAGGAGAGGCCTTCGCTCTCTTTCCTTCCGGCGGCTTGGAGGTGCAGGTTCCCTGCTGTTGAGTCTGCCATGTTGGGGAGCGAGGCCTGGTAAGGCCTTGTCGACCTTGGGAGATGGAGGTTGCCGGCGATTGTCCCGGAGCAACTCTCGGTTGTCCCAAGGAGAGTGGTGGGATATCTTCTTTGCTAACTCTTTAGTTACTAGATCTCGGGCTACTGATTGGGATATATATATATATATATTTTACTTTTGTTTTGTTCCCTTCCCCTTTCCCCTTCCCCTTTCCTTGTGAAAATTGTATATATTTTAAATTGTATATATAAGTGTAAATATATTTATATATATCACTTTAGCTGTCTCTCTCGTTTCGGGTTATTTCTTAGCTGGTTGTTTTTCTCCCTCTTCTCCCTGAGGTTTTGGGGGGGGGGGGGGACGACTTCTAGTGGTAAGGTTTGGAGACTTGGCAGGGAGCCAGCTTCAAACCATATCACACGCCTATTGGATTTTGACAATTATCTCTCTTCAAATTTGTCCACAAACATCACTGAAAAACTGGTTTTTCTCACGCACTTACCAGGTGTTTGTGAAATGGCAGAGACACAGGTTATTAGACACAATGATTCCCCAGCACTAACGCTATTGCTTTCCCCCACAGCCTCCTTTTAGCACTGTTTATTCAGGAGAAAGCTGCAGCCATTCAAAGCTTGACACTGAACCTTTTTCTTTGAGTCTAATCTACTGAAGTCACAGGGTTTATTTCATGTTCTATATTTTTGATATCTTAGATTTTTTTTTTCTGGTCTTCAATTCTGGTTAGCACTGTAGGTCAGCAAAATCTCTTTGCTTCACTGCTCTACACATATTAGAGATAGTCTGTGTTAAGTTCTTGTGACACAGACAGTGCTTTCTGTGGCAATAGAAATGGGGGGAAAAAAACTCGTTTTCAATTTAATATTGTCCTAGTTACAGGGGCCAGGACCAGTTTATCACTATGTGAGTATAACCAAAACTGTATTCTACACCCTCTATGTAATTTCTGATGGACTATTAATACATGAATGGTTTGCAGCAGCTGCCCAGGACACAACTGACACCTCAGGCTACAAGCTGGGTGTTAAAGAAACCCTGTGAGGCAGGGGAGTGTTCTTTTGTTTTCACACCAATGACTCAGCTGTGATAACTCCCCTCCAGAAAGGCATTAACACCTTCACACCCAGCCTGAGGGGTCATCTCTGCTAATGGACATAAACAGCTGCAACACCTAGACCATCAAAGATCCCAAAAATATCCCATGACTCACAGAGTTAAATCACCCATTGTGAAACTCCCTGCCCTGGGGGACATACTGGACGTTGCCACCTGAACTTGAGCATATCTAAAGTTCAGGTGTGGGGACTTCTGGTACCACTCGTTGGATCAAGAGAAGGACCAGGACTTCAAGAGGACTGCAAGACTGCAGTCGTTACTTCAACAGGGCTGCGATCATCATCTGAACCAACAGCTTTGCCTTTCCTTCTACTTTGCGTCCAGAGGGGCTGTGTAGTGCTCAGTACAGGAGCTGACAAACATTGTTCTGGTTTTGTCCCAGTGTGCTGAGTTATTCATCTGTCTTTGGGGGTTAAAACCAGTTTTCTCTGTATCATTGTATTGTAATCTTCTTAGTAAATTGTAACTCTGACTTGTAATCTTTCGAGTTGGGTTCGTTTCTCCCACTGGTTTACTTTTAAAGCAGCACAAATATTAAAAGGATTAAAAGGATGTTAAAGAGCCAAATTGCCACATCAACATCACAACTGCAGTTGCTCTGCTTAAGTGAATATAGATGAAGTAGGCTCCTTGCTGGTGCAAGGAATTCCTTTCCTAATAAAACTTGTGAGGATTCAGCACTTTTTTCCCCCCTTGAGTCTGTTCTTACTGCAATGCCCACTACTAAAAGGAAGCCAGAGGACAATAGATACGTTAAAATATTTTTAAACCATTAATTTGTCTCACATGCAGATACCTACTTCCACATTTACACTTTGGTAGTTGGAGTTTACAGGTAACCAGCTACTGTTGCCTTCAGTAAAACCAGCATTAACTTCCCCATCCCACTGCATGGGAGATTTCTCTGGAAAGGTCACCTAGAAAATAAAGTGCTGATTAGCATATTGAAAAGGTATTATTTGAATAGCATGTTCTCACATCTTCCAAATTCTCACCATTTCAGTATTGCTTTCTTCAGTTAAAGTTAGAATTTAATAAGGAGAATGTAATCCTGCTCCAACTCTAAGGAGAAAATAAGAACCAAGACAGTTCCTGAAATGGAGGGGAGTGGATGGTCTCAGATACAGCATCGCTGGTAAAATGTGGAATTCCCAAACAACTCTACTAGAGCTGTCATCCTTTGCAACAGATGGTTGGATAAAAGTTTACTAATGACAGCCAGGATATTCTAATAAATATCTAGATATGCATTGAGTGAATATATGAGGTAATGAGTCCTAAGAAGGGATGCTGTTAAAATAACAGTAAACAACTAATAAATGCTGTTCAGTGTCTTGTTCTTTTGTAACCATCACACCTTTCTCCTTAGAACTCTCCAAGCTTACATTTGCAAGGGGTACAGTTTGGATAGAATTGTTTGTGTTAGAAAGATAAAATTATTATTTCCAAGTGCAAAACTATTGAAAACCAGCTTTTAGCTGATTAAAAACTGTCGATGTAAAAAGTCTGAAGTTCTCAT